TAAAACCAGAAGAATAAAGTAAGGTGGGGTGGAAAGGGTTTTTTTTTTTTTTAAATCCTCACTTAAGAAAATTTTTTTCATTGCTTTTAAAGAGTAAGGGAGAGAGAAACATCAATGCAAGAGAGAGAAGAATCAATTGGTTGCCTCCTGTATGTGGCTGGACCAGGGCTCAAACCCACAACCTAGGTATACATGTGCCCTGATGGGGAATCAAACCTGCAACCTCTTGGTCACAGGACAACACTCCTAACCCAGTCACACCTGACAGGGCTAGGGAGTGGGAAGTGTTTTTATACAGATTGCAAGGCTCATTTAAATTTATAGTAATTAAAACAATATGTCATTGACTCAAGAGGTACATACAGACCAGTGGAACAGAGTAGAGATCAGAGAAACAAACCTACATGAGAACTTGGTATATTACAGAGTGACATTAAAAAGCAGTGGAGAATGGGTGGGCTAGTCAAACAATGGAGTAGTAGGGACAAATGGCTAACTGTAAGGTAAACAGCAAAATTAGATCTTTGACACCCACACACAAAATATTCTGGATGGATTAAAGTTCCAAGTGTGAAAAACATCTTAAACATATACATCCCTGGACTATAAGCTCCTCAATTTAGAGTCTGTATTGCACAAATGTGTATCTGATTCTATTTAGTATTATACAAACACTAAGATAATAGAAAATCTTTGTAATTTGAATATTTATGATCTCAGTGTAAGGAAAGGATTTCTTAATATAATAAACAGCACAAACCATAAAAGATAAAATTGATAATCTGATAACACTAAAACTAAAAAATGCCTGTGTAACAGAACACTACACAATTAAAAAAACAAACCCCAAACTGGGTAATATTACAGATTTGGGAAGTATAAAAACAAACCAAATGGGTAAATGACAGAAACAGGTAATTCACTGAAGAGAACACCTAGGGAGCTGAAAATATCTGAACAAGAAGATGCCTAAACTTACTAGCAATCAGGGAAATGCAAATTAATATTTCACACCCATTGGACTGAGCAAAAATGTAAAAATCTCAAAAAATCATGAAATCAAGTGTGTAGATAAATACATGGGGAAATAAAAACTTCATGCTCTTACTGTGGAGAACAACTGGCAATAGGTAGTTAAGTTGATGATGAACTACTGGGAGTCTACACCAGAGAAATTCTTACACAGATGTACTAAAGAAATACCTTTAAAAGTGACAATTGCAGCACTGATTGTAATAGGAGAAAAAAATAACACAACCATCCCTCAGTAGGAAATAAATTGTCGTTTAACTATACAATAGAATTCACAGTTAAAAATGAATAAATTACATCTATATGTATCCAAAGGATACTTTACATGTTTAATTAAAAAAAGAGACAAGTTGCCCATGGATAGGTACAGTATATTTAAAAAACAACAACAAATGCCCCCCCCCCCCCCGATATTATTTTCCAAAATCCTTACTGGAAAAACTCTTTGACTCTTTATTCTGACTACCACAAACAGATACTGTGTTCCTTCTTCCATCTGCACTCACTGGAATTATACCATTCTCTTTTTTTTTTTTAAAGATTTTATTTATTTATTTTTAGAGAGGGAAGGGAGGGAGGGAGAGAGAGAGAGAGAGAAACATCAATGTGCGGTTGCTGGGGGTTATGGCCTACAACCCAAGAATGTACCCTGGCTGGGAATCGAACCTGGGACACTTTGGTTCCCAGCCCGCGCTCAATCCACTGAGCTACGCCAGCCAGGAAAATTATGCCATTCTTTAAGGGTCAACTTAAGTGCCACCTTCTTCAAAAAGCTTTGATTACCTCAATCCGAAGAAATTATTCCTTCTCTGCTCTCACAGAGCCTGGTTTCACCTATGTGACAGGTATTACAGATGTGAAAGACCTCTTTTTGAATATCCCAAGTCTACTAGAATATGAGTTCCTTAAGGTTAGAGGCACTATCTTACACGACTTTGTATTTACTTCAGTAAATACAGTCACTGCGTTGGTTTCAAGTTTAAAAAGTTTAATAAGACATGGTTCCTGCCTCAAGGAAGTTATGAGCTTATTATGTAGTAGAGGGAAACAGACACATAAATACTTATAAGGATAAGAATTATAGAAGCAACATAAATAGAGTGCATGGATAACAAATGAGGGATTATATCCCGCAAAACGCCCCGCAAGCAGCAGGCATTCATTCTGTATTAGTTTTACGAACTGGTGGATGCAAAAAAAGAGGAGTGCTTGCAAAAGGTGAGCATATAAGAAACAAGGAGATAGAAGTGTTCCCCCCGCCCCTCCCCCGGCCTTGGCAACGTGATAGGGTGGGAGAAAGTCGAAGAAATAGGGAGGAAGGTCTTAAGGATCTGCGGGGTTGGGGTGGTCGGCCGGGGTAGGTCTGGAGTATGCTGGGGAAGGAACAGGAAGATCCGATTGGAAAACAGCTCAGCACAGTACCTTTCTCATTACGAACAGGGACGGCTCCAGCCGTGGACTGAATGGGCGGTTGTTTCATGAGTGCGCTTGGGGCCGACATGTTCATGGCTGTCGTGGTACTCCCGAAACTTCACTGATTCCAAACACTAAACACCTACAACGTCAAAGAACAGAAAAAAAGCCCCTCTCCACCTAGAGGAACTGGACGCTGAACCGCGACTGAGGGAAACTTCACTCAAAACCGAGCTAGAAAAACCGGAAATTGCGACCAGAGGATTGTGGGATTGTGGAGGACCTCTGGGCTCCTATCTTAGAACGTCGAGTGTGTTACAGCGCCAGTCCACAGTCTGCCCTATAGTTCTCAGTATTGTAGTATTTGGACGCCACTTCTGGCGGGAAATTACTTCTGTTGGGCTTTTTGCTCTTAAGACCCTTGCAGCGAGGAAGGTCAGAATTAAAGGTTTTGTTTGTTAGCTTCGTTTGAAGCCGAAGAAAATAGGATAGTGAGGAATAAGAAATCCTGGGGATAGCGAAGGGCGATTTGTCCAGACTGTTCAAAGTTCAGAATTAGAGTTTAATTGGGATAGAATTCCTGCCAATAGCACCTGATTAGCCCAGCTGATAAAGCTGAGTGTGTTGTGGTGCTGGATATTTTAGTGACACAATGGCTGGTGGTGGTGATTTACGCCAGTGACACACACACACACACACACACACACACACACCAAAAAGGGGCCAGGGACAATGCCTGAAATCTGAACACTCTCTTTTTAGGGTTTCCAGTTAAAGTTTTCGGAGACTGCCTATTTAAAAAAACCTCAAAACATGTAACTGGCCGGAAAGAGTTTGTAAAGTCCATAGGTATTAAGTACTTGCTGTGTTTACCATGCTTAGCTCTCTGTAAGGAGTATGGAATATTGTTAAATGCCTTATGTTCTCAAGAAGCTTGAATTTTAAAATAAAATATAGTATATAAATGTGAAAAATGAAAAAAGCTTGAATTTTATTCAAAATGTCTTAAAGGGCATAAAGAATCATAACAGAAGCAATTGCAATTCACTAGCTGGGTTGTGTAGAAAACACTGGTTAATTGGAAGTCAGAACACATTTCACCATAGAACGGATTTTATAACTGCTGTGGGGAGAGAGACTGGACGCATGAGCAAAGTCTTGAAGTCCAGAAATAGTATGGTATGATATATTAGGCACTATGAAAAGTTCGATTTTACCAGTGGTTTTTGAGTCAATGAGTGGTAACAGGTACCACTCATTTGGCAGGTACCAAGTCCTCGACGGTCTTGCAAGGTGTTGTTAATAGGATTAGTTCTCAAATTATTTCACCTGTGTTTTTTCACGGGCCCTAGGTTGGGAGGAGAAATAAAATCCGGCAAGTCTCCAGCGACTAACAGTGGAGGACCCAAGTAAATAACCAAGGGAGCAGTTTGGGCTAAAAAGAAAGGACCTTAATTTTATACTATGAATTTGTCAGCTCCAAAACTATATTGTAGAGAGGTAGAGGTAATTATTGGGGGGGGGGGAGGCAATTGTTTTGGCTCACGCAACCCAGAGAACAGAAAAAAACAAAGTTTAATATGGCTGTATCTAGCTTTGCACAGCGGCAGTATTGTAGCCAATGAGGTTTCTCCGAGGCCCGATTATTTCTAACTGGAGAAAAAAATAATATGGCTGCATCTGTAAGAAATACAGTGCACTAAAACCTGACGTTACTTTGTGATACACAAGTTATTTGATTCACAATTTTTTCCCAGCCTTTGGGCTTTGTAAGGTCATCATTAGTATCTTAGTTAACTGGGGGGCAGATGATCAGGTGAAATTTAAACCAGCTAAACGTTATTAGCTTTTGAAAAAAACATCAAAATGCTTCCCTTTCTAGAAGACAATACGATAGCCATAGAGCATAATATTCTGGTGGTGGGGTTATATGAAACCAGGGAGTCCGAGGTAAACTCTGCCAAGTTGATTTTGACTTCCTTTCCTTTCCATTCTTTACCGCAGGGGTCCCGAGCCTCCGAGCCGCAGCCTGTTAGGAATCCCGCTGCAAGCAAAGCTCGCCGGAGCTGCGCCTCCAGTCTCCCACCCCGTGCACCGCGGGTGAGTGAGCGAAGCTCACCTGAGCTCCATATCTCGTCTTCCCCCCGCTCCTTCCCCCGTCGCCCTGTCTTCCGCGAAATCGGTCCCTGGAGCCAAAAAATTTGGGGACCGCCGCTTAGGGCATCTGAGTGAGTCTGAATCTTTTCTGGGCTCACATTACAAAGCAAGGTAGTTTTTCATCAGCAAAAGCGCCCGTGTTTTTCAAAGCGAGATCCTGGCACCGGCAGCATCAAACCATCAGGATCCAAGGTAAAAAAAAAAAAAAAAGTCCATTCCGTCCCATGACACACTTAAGGAATTTGAGTATGGGGTGAGCGCTGTAGTTCTCCCTGCGCCCGGCCCCTCCCATCCCCTCTCCTCCCCACCCCCCTGGGCAGTCAGCTGTGATCAGAGCGCACCGGAGCCGCCCGCCTCCACCTCCCGAGGCCCCGCCTCCTGCTCAATATTGGCGGGAAGGCCCCAGCTGCTAAGCGGCCGAAAGATGTCCGGGTTGTACGCGGCGGCTGAGGAGACTGCTGGCTCCAGACAGGCACTCCAAGAGAAGGTGAGAGACGGCTCGTCGTTTTCGGGTGTGCTCCTACCGCAGTCTTCGTGAGGGGTCTGTCCGGCACCAGGACCTCGCGCCCCGTACTTCCCTATTCCAAAACTGCCGTATTTTTCTCCCCTGGGGCATCTCGCCGTTTAACCGGCTTTTCCGGGAGTGCTTCAAAAGAGAAGTCGCCTCCCTGCTCTGGTTGTCCTCTATGGAATCTAGACGTACAGCGTGGACAAAGGTTCTTTTCAACCCCCGATATAGTGCAGGGTGGGATCAGGACTCTACACTTGCTTTTGCAGCAGTTATTGTCAGCTTTCCACTCTGGGAACAATTACAGTTACGCGGAAGCTGACATGGTAGACTTCTCAGTTACAGATTATAGTCATTATTATTATTGGTTTGGTAGACTCATATGGGCAAGAACTGTGTCCCGTATAATAAATAACTGTATTTGGGTTAATGAATTTGGTATCTAGATTTTGGGTGGAAAAAGTTTCCTTATAGACTGTCAATTTGGATTTATGTTGTCATTATGCTGTAGGAATTAGATTTATTAGCTCTGTAAGAAAAGGTATGGGACCTGGGATTCTAATATTTTCTTTTCTTTCTTTCTTTCTTTCTTTCTTTTTTGGTCTGAATAGGCGAATGAATATAAAGAAAACCAGAAGATCTCTCATGTATCTCTGAGACCGTTACAGGCTACAGTTTTAGAAAAAACACCTAAGGTGTGTCTTATCCCCTTTTCACTCAGTGATTACAAGCCAGGCGAATTTAAGCTCCCCAAATCCCTATTAAATAAGAACTCTAAGGATGAAGTGGCATGTAAGAAATGCAAGAAGATTGAAATACAGAAAACTTTCACAACGATTTTAATTCCAAAGACGAAAGGCACCACGTCTTCTAAGGCAGAATCCACTCTGCAAAAATCACACTTAGATGTTCCTGTGGGAAATAACAAACGACAATGCCTGAGCACTTTGGATACAGCGGTCCTCGGTGTTGATATGGAAGGCAGTCCTGACGGAGACAGTGATGAAGACACTACATTAGGCCTGGTAAGAGTTTAATTACTGCTTATCCAAATTGTTCTTATTTTAAAAAATTGAAGTTCTGATAAGCTAAGTTTATCGAGGGTTTCTCTAGCTCAAACAAATTATTTTACCTAATTTGTGTTTAGTTGAAATTTTCTATTTTAAATGTTTAACAGAGAAGGGGGTTAATTTTGCTCTTGGTTTTGATTTGTCAGGGACAGGATTGACTTAATCTTCACTCTGCTTCCCCTTTTCAGTTTATTGCACTTAGTTTTGAGTTTACTCACAAACTTTATGGCATCTTGTTCACCTTTACATGTTTATGTACAGTGTACCAAAAGAAGTTGACCTGTGGGACATAGGGCATTTGAATGATCCTTGATGTCACAGTATGAAAATCACCATTAATTGGTTGCATTGGTGTACTGAATAATATTTCTATTAAACACAAAAAGGAGACGAATGATGAGGTACTTGAGAAAATCTATTAGCTCTTCTTAAAATAATAGTTCATATCGGTTTAAAAATTAGGCATCTAATTCTTTTGGCTTCTGTTGCCTACCAAGAGTGCTGTACATCATTTAAAGTGACACATTTTATGCAAGATAAAACTGCACCACTGACAAAATGTTGATGGGACCAGAACAGAAAATGATGGTAGAAAAAGGGAGAGAGGATAACTGAGGTGTTGTTATGAAATAGGAATTCAATTTATGCTTTATTGTCCCAAAGGTAAGAATTAGGACCTATGGTGGGACAGTGTGGCATAAATCCTAAGTACATTGGAGTGGGAGGGAGGGGGTTGGAAGCCCAAGTTTTAGGCATGGCCTAAGAAACCTTGTGCTTTTAAGCAAATCACCTCTACATTGAGGAGATTGTATAAAACCCGAGGTTCTCAAATTCTAGCCTGTGTTAGAATTACCTGGAAGGCTTGTTAAAGCTCCTTTGCAGGGTTCCACCCCCCAGTTTCTGATTCAGAAATTTGGGAGTGAGAATAGAATTTGCATGCCTAACAAAGTTTCCTAGAGACACTGATACTGTTGGTCCTGGACTGCACTTTGAGAACCACTGGTTTAGATGATATCTTTGGCCTCTTACACTGTAAGATTCTGGGTATATAAGACTCATATGAAGCAGATTTTAGTTTGATGTAAAGAAATAGGGTCATAAATTAGAACATGAGGTAGTATTAGAGAGAATCAAGCAAGGGTCCTACGTGCTCAGCATACTATTTCTTAGGACAAACTGAAAGATCCAGCATTGTTTACAGAACATTTCGTTCTTTTGTTCTCTCCCCTTTCATCAATTATCTTTTTGGAGTGAGATAACTAAGCCTTTGTGGTACCCTGCATAGGAACAGTGTTTATTTTTTATTTTATTTTTAGGAACAGCATTTAGTGTATTAATTTACCAATCTTCCTGAATGAAGTAAGGCTTTTGCCATATCACAGACAAGTGTTGGCCTTAAAATCTAGAGTCTTATTTTTTATGGGAAATTTGCTAAATTTTCTCTCAGCTCTTCTATTAAAATGTTTTAACTTCACTTAATAGTTATTTTTTTTTAATTTTTGAGCAAATTTTAGACTTACAGAAGATTTGCAGAAATACAGAGAATTTCCAGAAATCTCTCACCCAACTTCTTCTTATGTTAATATTGTACATAGTCATAGAATATTAATCAAACTAAGAAAGTAACCTTGTTATAATACTATTAAATACAGAATTTATAATGACATCACCTATTTTTCCACTAAAGTTCTTTTTCTGTTCCAGTATCCAGTCCAGGATCACACAGTACATTTAGTTGTCATGTCCCTGTAGTCTCTTCAAATCTACGACAGTTCTTTAGTCTCATGACTTTGACACTTTTGAGGATTACTGGACAGTTATTTCATATAATGTCCTTCAATTTGGGTTTGTCTTCTATTGTCTCATGATTTGATTAAGGCTTTGCAGTTTTGGGAAGGGTAATTGGGAAATTAATGTGTCCTTCTTGGTGCATCTATCAGGGTGTATATGATGTTGATATATTTTACTGGCGATGTTGACCTTGATCACTTGGCTAAGGTGGAGTCTGCCAGGATTCTCCGATGTAAGCTTACTATTTTTTTCTTTGTAATTACTAAATATTTTGAGGAAGGTACTTTGAGACTATGCAGATACCTGTTTTCTGTCATTAAGCATATGTTTTTAAATTGAGATATAATTCACATAAGTAAAATTTACTATTTAAAAGTAGTCAATTCAATGGTTTTTAGTGTACATGCAAGATTGTGCAACCATTGCCATTATCCAGTTTCAGAACATTGTCTTTACTTCAAAAAGAAACCCCACACCCATTATTAGTCCTTATCCCACCTCCTCCCTACCCTAGCCCTAGAAACCATTAATCTACTTTCTGTGTCTAGATTTGCCTATTCTGGACATGTCATATAAATGAAATTGCACAATATATAGCTTTTTGTGTCTGGCTTCTTTCATTTAGCATAATCTTTTCACAGTTCATTCATGTGGTAGCATGTATTGGTATTTATTTGAATATTCTAGTGTATGATATATCATATTTCATCAGTTGATGGGCTTTTGGGTTGTTTCCACTTTTACATTATTATGAACAATGCTTCTGTGAGCACTTGCTTATGAGATTTTAGGTGAACATGTGTTTTTCATTCTCTTGTATACATACTTAGGAATGATTATTTTTGGATCATATGGTAACTCTTTAACTTTTGGAGGAACTGTCAAACTGTTTTCCAAACTAGCTGTGTCATTTTTACACACCAACTAGTAATGTATGAGGAGTCCACTTTCTCTGCACTCTTACCCATACTTGTTATTGTTGGTCTTTTTTAAAAATTAAAAAAACCTTTCATTGTAAATAATTTACATCACAAATAAACAGTGTAAAATGTACCATCTTAACCACTATTTTTAATTTATTGATTTTTATTTTATTTTTAATTTTAAAAAGGTTATTTATTTATTTCCAGAGAAAGAGGATTGCCTTCCTCTCTCTAGAGAAAGAAAGAGAGGGAGAGACAGCAATGTGAGGTTGCCTCTCGTGCACTCCCAACCAGGGAGTGCCTGAACCCAGGCATGTGTCTGAATTGGAAATTGAACCAGCAACTCTTTGGTTTGCAGGCCAGCACTCAGTCCACTGAGCCACACCAGCCAGAGCTACTTTTTGATTTTTAGAGAGAGAGGGGAAGGAAGAGAGAGAAAAACACCAATTTGTTCTGCTTATTTATGCATTAATTGGTTGATTCTTTTTTTCTTCTTCTTTATTATGACCTGGCTAGGGGTGTAACCATAACCTTGATGGATGGATGCTCTAACCAACTGACCTACTGGGCCAGGGCCCTTATCTTAACCATTAAAAAAAAAAAATCCTCACCCAAGGATATTTTCACTGATCTTTAAAGAGAGGGGAAAGGAGAGAGAGCGAGAGAGAGAAACATAGATGTGAGATAGAAGCATTGATTGGAAGGCTCTTGTACATGCCCCAACTGGGGATAGAACCCACAACTTAGGTATGCAACCTAGGTATGTACTCTGATTGGGAATTGAACCTGCAACATTTTGGTGTTTGGGAGAAGGCCCCAGTCTACTGAGTTACCTGGCCAGGGCAATCATTTTTAAGTGTGCAGTTCAGTAGTGGTAAGTACATTTACATTGTTGTGAGACCAATCTCCAGGACTCTTTTCATCTTGCAAAACTGAAACTCTATACCCATTAAACAATTCGTCATTCTCTGCCTCCTGCCAGCCCCTGGCAAATACCATTCTACTTTCTGTCTCTGAATTTGATTACTCTAGTTACCTCACTCAGTGGAATCATATGATATTTGTGACTGGCTGATTTCATCTAAGATAATGTCAATTGTTCATCTTTTTGATTATAGTTATCATAGTGAATGTGAAGTATATCATTGTGAGTTTGATTTGTATTTTCCTAATGACTAATGATGTTGAACATCTTTACATGTGCTTATTGGCCATTTGTACTTTGGAGAAATATCTATATGAGTTCTTTGTCCATTTACAAAATTCAGTCAATTCAGTTTTTTAAAATTGTTGAATTGTAAGAGTTCTTTATATATTCTAGATACTTGACCCTTATTAGATACATCATTTGCAAATATTTTTGTCTCATTATGTGGATTATCTTTTCACTTTTTTGATAATGTCCTTTGACATGCAAAATTTTAAATTTTTAATTAAAATTAAATAATTTAAGTACAGCTTATCAATTTTATCTTTTGTTTCTATGCTTTTGTGTCATATCTGAAAAACCTTTGCCTAACCCTGGTCTGGTCAGTTGGTTGAAGCATCATCCATACACTAAAAGGTTGTGGGTTCCATCTCTGGTCAGGGCACATACCTAGGTTGCGGGTTTGATCCCCTGGTCTAGGAGCATACGGGAGGGAACTGATCAATGTTCCTCTTTCACATCGATGTTTCTCTCTCTTTCCACACCCCTCCAAAATTAATACACATATGCTCGGGTGAGGATTAAAATACATAAATAAATACCATTGCTTAATCCAGGGTTATGAAAATTCACAGCTATATTTCCTTCTAAAAATTTAATAGTTTTAGCTATTACATTTAGGTCTTTGATATATTTTGATTTAATTTTTGAAATATGTTTACTGATTTTTAGGGGGAGGGCAGAGAGAGAGAAAGAGAAAGAAATATTGATGTGAGTGAGAAGCATCAACTGGTAACCTCCCATATGTGCCCCTACTGGGGATTTAACCTGCAACCTAGGTCCATGCTCTGGCAGGGAGTTGAACTCCCAGGCTTTTGGTGTATGTGAACAACGCTCCAACCAACTCAGCCACTCCAGCCAGGACTTGAGTTGATTTTTATATATGATATGAAATAGGGCTCCAAATTCATACTTTTACATGTGGTGTTTGTTCCAAAACCATCTGTTGGTAAGACTGTTAGAGAGGTGGGAGGGAGGAGGAAAGAGGGAGAGTAATATCGGTGTGAGATATATCACTGATCCATTGCCTTTTG